TCCAAGTAAAAACGTCAACTGGGCTTTTGGTGGTGATTCACCTTGGGCACCGGAGCAGGCATGACCGAAGGACCGGAATGACTCTCTAATTGCAGGGCCTTCGGCTTGGAAGTCCCAGGAACGGCCCATTTAGATCGCACGCTGCCGCCGTAATATTCTCAGCTGTCAGCATCCAGTTTGCCAAGTCGAATCAGTTGTCAGTGCAGCTAACTTTAGTTTCGTGTGGAGCCCGCCAAGGAGATGGTGGCTTTACAGCCAGATAAGATAAGGGCACTGAGAGGGTAAGTTGAGACCGCCTGCTTGGACAAACCGTCGGGGAGAGGGTGCTGGGTGTCTCAGTCCTTCTACTTGAGTCGCAGGATGTAGCTGTCCAACCAGGCGGAGCTAGACATGGGGGGCAACGTCCGCATGAAGTTTCCAGAGCCACTTGAGGTTTTCCAGATCTCGCTTCAGAAGAGATCCTGAATCCCTACCTCTTTTTGGAAGGCACGGAGGGGATGGCTGCAAGGCCCTTGGCATGACAGGGCTTCAGGTCCAAAGTTAGCTTTTGTTGGGAGGCTGCCGGACAAGCGAGTTGCTGGCCTGGTTGGGGCCTGAAGCCTGTGGTGGCCTCCAGTCACGCCAGGAGTAAGAGAGCGTTTGTTGTCTTCAGCTCTAAGGCTTTGCCGAATCCCAAGAAGGCCTTCATCGGCCGAAGTCTGCTATCACGGCACGAGGAGCTGCACTTCTGCTTCGCTGGTGCCATCCCCGGATCGCTGCGTGGTTGGAGCCACTCAGCCTTGTGACGGGGACTCAATGTGAGGCCTAAGCACATGCCCACGCGAGGTGCACATTTTCCAATCAGTGACATAGCGGCTGCTCTGGAAGATCCGAAGAAAGATAATCTGGAAGAGGCAAAGATCCTCCTGGCAAGGACTTGGCTTGCACAGCCTTGCTGTTGCCCAAGCAGCGTCATACATGTCGGCAAGTTTGCAGCCAGGATAGCAGCTTGCTGTGCTCATTCTGCTAAACATGAGATGATCGGAGAACAGCGACAAAACAGCTGTCACGAAAGCTAGCTCCTTGGAGCTTGCGGGAGTTGTTGTTTACATAGTTCTTTCTTGGACAACTTCAGGCCCATTTGTTTGTCGGCTTTGGTTTCAATGGGTTGAGCTACCGTGCTTGCCGTGGATGCTGATTCTGTTGTGCATGCCTATTTGTGCTCCATCGGCATTGCAGCATGCTCACCCACGCTGCGCGTCGCGTCGAAACGTGCATCGCGGTGGGGTCCCCAACCTCCGCCATCATATCGCTTCTCTATACTGGCTTATCCCTCGGCGCTTCTGCTTCTTGCCCCTATAGCTGCCCGAGCTTTCGTCCGCCCTGCTCTCAAGTTGAATTGCTAGAGGACGTTGAGGAAGGTCTTGCGCAAGGCGCAACGAATGGGGCTGCTCGATGATGGCACGATCCTTATTCTCCAAGGCCTGCCTCAGTCGCTTTATGACTTGTGACAACCAGAGCATTGGGACCATGCCGAAAACTGCCCGCAGGCGATCTGAACAGCAGAACAGTACTTCGCCCTTCTGGCCACCAGTTGGACGTGCTGAGTGAAGTGATGGCAGACAAAGAATTGCAGGACACCGGCCCAAGAAAGCCGAGCGCACGACACTCATGGAGTGCCTGCATGTGACAGGCGGCAATTCGAATCGGGTTGTCTTTACTGGAAGCTTGGATGAATTGTCGGTGGCACGTCGCAAGTGCGTGAAATTCAAGATTAAGTGTGAAGATTGTGCTGGATGCGAGTAAGGACGGGGAATGGTTCGAACCTTCCAATGCAGATCCGTCGGAGCTGCCAGTGGCCTGCCATGCAGCTAGCAGCCACTGTAAGATCACAACTGGTCTCTGTGATGCACGAACCAAACTCTTCGTGAAGATGAGCCGCTCAACCCTGCCGCTCTGAGCACTGCAAGGTGACGTACAAGTTTTTACACGATGTGGGCCTGGAGCTCGGACGGGTGGAGGGACGCTACGTGGCGTTTTGGATTGTCTTCATGGTTGGGGGGGCGAAGGTTAGATATCGAAAGGAACCTATGCATTGGAATCGCAGAATTTCCTGCAGCCGCGATCCGGAAAGAAGCTTGTGCGGTGGTAAACTGTTTGCAACGAACCACCAGTGAGACGCCAGGCATCATGAAGCACCGATAGCTTTGTTTACGGAGGCTTGTCCGTCCTTGTCGGGGTGTGTCAGCCCTGCAGCCTACACCTACACAACGCAAATGCCATTCGTGGCGTCAGGCTTCTACGGACAGCGTTTCTAGCCCCGATTGAACTCTTTCTCTCCTCGACTCCAGTTTAGGCGAGGAGTCTACGCAACCGGTGTCCGTATGGTGCAAGCTCTTGATCATTACACGTGCAAAGTACAAGGCTTGGGCTGCCGTCGCCATGCCAGCAGCTCCAATTAGAGATCAAGAAGAGGCTTGCTTGTTGCTCCGGCTGTCGGCGAAGTAAATGCACGAGCTACGACCGACCTGTGCCGCTGGCTGCTCCGGACGCTGCCTTTGTGAGAGCCAAGCACAGATGCCCCGACCGCGTGCTGCAAGTCCGTTGTGTGCAAGCACTTCTCAAGCCAAGATGCCAACCCAAAGTCAAAGGGCCTTCTCGGTGAGTTTGTCCAAGCCGAGTACCAGCACATCATAGCCCAATCAGTGCCCACAGGACAGCAAAGTTCGCATATGTTCCATGACTGCCCAGCGTAGACTGCGGTGGGGCAAAATCTGTACTGAAACTCGTTTGTTGGCCACAGTCGCACATGAACTCAGGTGACACATTCCTGAAGGGGGAACGTGCCCCGACTGCAATCGCCGGCGTATCGGAAGGCATAGATTGCTTTGCTGCTCTGCCCTTGGCACAGGTTCACTCACCCTGAAGTCGCTGCTCGAGGCGGCGAGCGACGTGGAGCTCAGCCCGAAGAGCCCCAGTTCTGAGCGCTACCACGCGTTCCCTGCCTGCCTTGCTTTATCCATGTCGCCACATATGGCCATATGGAGAGCTACTGAGATAAGTACCAGCACATGTGCTCTTTTTCCTGTCCCCATGATTCGAGGACGCTGTGCAGCTTGCTGCTGCCTCAGTTTCAGTTGGAGCTTGGCCAAGCCAGCAGGCCGTGTCCGCCGCAGCCTTGAGGTCGCCACAACAGCTGAAGGAATGGGGCTCCTGGCACGCAAGTACAGTAGAGTTCGCAAAGGTCTTCTTGCGTGCAGCTGCGCCTGCTTCCTTCCCATCGGTGTTTTCCAAGGCCTGGACTTCAAGGAAGGCAGCTTTCGCCCTTTCCGTTCCGTAGCCGAAGATTTCCAAAGCTTTCAGCATTGTGACCGATGCCCTTGAGCGAAGGCTTTCCCGCATCAGCTGATCGGCTGCTGGCATGGGCTCCCAGGAAGCTGGCAAGGCCGGCGCCCTTCTTGGATGATGCGAGCTCTTGCTCAGTGCTGGCATGCTGAAAACGTGCGCTCATTGAAGTACACTGAGTACACCCTGTCGCAGCACTGCTTGGATCAAGATGTCATTGAATTGAGGCGATTACGCTGGAGCTTCCCTAAGGGCGGTTATGAGGCCAGTGTCGGACTTGCTGGCGCGAGGTGTTTAGCTTACATGAGGTTAGATCGCTGTTTGCACGAAATTGCACACGAGCGGCCTTTCTGCGGCAGGTGATCCACACTCAAGGGGGCAGTGACCACCGTCCCGTCGTCCTCGAGGCCAGGAAGCATCAGAAAGGCAAGTGTGGTGATCTCGTCGCAACTGCCATGACAGGCTGCCTTGACAGTGGTGGCTGCAGAGCCTGACACGTCGGAGCCGTCCTGCCCAGACCCGTCGCCAGAGCTGATCGAGGCCACAGATTTCACTTTCAAAGTTGGCAGAGAGAATGTCCAGATTACTGCCTCATGCTTGAACAGCTCACTCCGCATTCACAGTTGATAGGAGTCTCGGAACGAGAGCTGTAAAGCTGTGTAGGAATGCCCAGCTTTGACTGAGATTTGCTTGCCGTTTAGGTTATATTTTGTGCTCTTTAGCAGGCAGTCACTCAAGACGACGCCGACAACAGTGATTCAGGTGACCCGGCGCTTTAGTCTAAGTGCAACTTATCCAAGAGGAGCCTCTCTGCTGTTCGGAGCAGCCAGGTGAGTCTCCGGGGCTGTTTGGCTCGCTCGCCCGAGGCTCAGGGGGTCCATGGCAGCAGTCGCTTCCTTGGATCCGTGACAGGCTAAGCTAGTCTGCGATGCTGTGGGACCGGACCAGGTGGCGAGAGCTGGAGTTAGCAGCAGCTGGTTTCGAGCTTCGAGCCCTGGCAGACAGCTAAGGCCAAATATCAGTTGTAAAGATGTTTCGCCAGTTGTCCGAGTGGGACTCGCCTCGCCCCGCTGTCCTCCTCAGAACCCCACACAATCCCACACTCCTCCCTACCTAGGGGTGGGTACGTGCGCTGACTCCTGCCTGCAAAGTTCGAGCAGAGCACATGATCAAGGCCGTCTTGGAAAAGCGCCAGCCGAGCACTTAGACCAATGGCCAAGCATCCGGGAGAGCCTGGCAGGTCGTCGACGGCAAGCTTCACAATCGCGACATTCGTTGGGCAGGTGGTCGAATCTATCTACTGCGCATTTTCCAAGCATCGCAACAAGGTTTGCCAAAGCATGCTTTCTTTATCGTGTCACCTGAGACGCTCCCATGACCTCCAAACGGTGGCTGATCAAAAGCCCTGCTTCGCGTCGCCGTCCATCAGGTTCAATTTCGCATGGCAAAGAACGGCGACGGCCCAACGATCAGAATCTCCTGAATGCCACACCTTTGGTTGAAACCAGCTTGCCAGGCGACATGCTGCCATGAATCAATGTACGTGCGGCTGTTAAGCATGACGCTGATGGATCACCTCAGGTGTTTGCATAATTCTGGCACGAGCAGCTGGTATATGCAGCACGAGCAGACGCAAGAAATAGAAGCTTGGCGCAAGCATGCGCCTGCCCTAGCGGATGGCAAGCAGTGGCTATGCAGCGCAGGCTGAATATATGACACAGTGATCTCGAATTGATCAATCCCTCGTGGTCAGGACGAAGAGCCGATTGTCGGACAGAAGGCTTTGCTGCAACCGCAATGCCATGTGTCTTGAACATGGGGGAGTGAAAGACAGTGAAGAGAGCGGGAGACTGCCGTGCCCCGTCTCTGACAGCGAATAGGCCGCCAGGGCAGCCGTTGAAATTCGATCGAATCAAACCGGTGTGAGCCAGCACACACTGGGGGCCTTACGTTGGTGCTGTTAGACTGGAGGTCTCGGTGGTAGGCTACACGGCCACGGTGCGCTTCGTGGGCGAGACCCACTTCGCCCCGGGTGAGTGGGTCGGTGTTGAGCTTAAGCCTGGCCAGCCCGCCGCGTCTTCGAATGTGGCAGAAAATGGCAGAATCCTAGGCCTTAGAGTTGTACAGTGCAGAAGGTAGACTGATTTCATCGTGTCAATTATCGCCTTCAAAAGACTGACCAGTTTTGATTAGTCGTGTGCATCGGCTATGCCAGCTGTGGGCAAGAACGACGGTACCGTGCAGGACAGAAGGCACGCCGACAGAAAGTCCTTGCATGTCCTTGCAATGCACTCTGTTGCCATAGGGATGATGGTACTGCATAGTGCACATGCAAACTTGGGGGGTTATTTAGATTGGAAAAAGAATGGCCACGCAGGTCACATCCTGTCATCCCATAACTTCGAGGGGTTCCGATTGCTTGTACAGATCTTGTGACAGCAGCCCGAAAAGTATCGCATGCAAAGCCAGAGGCAGCACCGTACACGAAGGTGGGTTCTTCCCCGCCGAAAGAACGACTACACTAGACTCCCAGACAGTCATGGCAGTCATGTGGCAGATCCTGCCACGGGCAGCCTTCGCAAATTCTCACGCTGCATAGCAGCTGACGTTTGCTAAAATTGAGTTGCACAGCTTCGTCTCAGCTCCTCCAGCCGATCCAGGTATTTTAGCTGCGAGCCCAATCACGGCCTCTTCGTGCGGAGGAGCGTCGTGCCGGGACCCCTGTTGGCCTACGCTTACTGGAGCGAGCCAATCCGTTGCGCAAGCCGTGACATTTCGGGGAAACGCGAATAAAGAGCTGGTAGAAGTGGGCTGATGACTTCTTCACGAATGGAGGAAGTCGCAAGTATGCAAGATTTGGGACAGGCAGCGCATACCTGGCGGAGATCCACCAAGCCCTAGCAAAGCCAGAGTTCTCTTTGCAGGCTTGGTGCCCTGACAGTGCCCTGATGAAATGGTTGTCCTTGTGCTGCTGCACATCCTTTGCCGCCACGGGGTCTTAGTACAGTATTAGTTGAACCTGCGTGATGACTTGTGTCATGGATGTTTCCACAGTCCTGTGCGATTTTGGGGTTCAAAAGCTTGCGATATGACCGTTACAGTACTTGAATGCCGCTTCGTGTCTGTCTTGTGCCTGTTGCTGCCGGTGATTCGTGTCTGTTGGGCAGCCAGGCGCTGGCCCCGAGATTTGCGAGGCACCCGCCCGTGCCTCAGGCATATCGACGTCAAGACATAATATGTCGTGAGTTCTTCTCCTGTTAACTTGGAGGTCGGCGGCGATGCTGAAGGCTCGGTACAGTCCCGCTTCCTTCGAACTTGTCAAAGAGATTGTGCAACATCTGATTGTCTAAGTGGGTTGCGGGCCTCTGACCATTTCTGACCGTTTTGTGGTAATTAGTAGTTGGTGTCGTCAGGTGACTCCCAGAGTGAGGACGATGTAGATGAGGCTGGGCACATGTGGGACGCAAGCTCGTCCATAATTCAGGCGATTGCAAACTGCGATGAGGTGGCCATGGTGCCCACGCAAACCATGCGCCGCAAGGGTGTTTCAGCAGAAGCTGGAGGTGAAGAGGCATGACCTTCACACCTTCGCGACCTTGACACATCTGCACAACAGCTGGCTGCATGTGCATCAACTAAAGTAAGAGCTACACCGCTGCTTGGCCGAATGGAAGGACGACTGGGTGCCAACGGTCCACGAGAAAAGCCAGACAGAGAAGCAGCAGCTGAAAGAAGCTACCTGGAAGCCTGGAAGCCAATGCTAAAGTTACGGATGGCTGTTGTTGTGTGACCGCTTATGGGGTAGTACTCACGGGTACCGAACGGCCCGCAGCTTTGCAAGCAGGAAGCTCGCAGCTGCAATAAGCAGTTCTAGTTATAGCACACCAGTTGTCGGGCCTGGTCTCAAGTACTAGACTCCCATGTTCTTGAACTACCTCGTACCATGTAATCAGGATGTAGCAGGCTTCGGTTCTTGATTCATTAGTGGGAGAAGAGTAGAAGAGTACCGAAAAGCTCAAGCGCGCAGACATGCTTGATGTGAAGCAGCTGTGTGTCCACATACATGGGTTTCCGCTCCCCAGAACAACCTTCGGGAAGGTCTACCCGAGCCCAACAAAATCCTGTCGCCAGGTTTGTCGCAGCCCTCAACTCTAAACCTATAGGATCTTCAAGCCATTGTGACCACAGCCCGCTTAGGTTATTGACAACTCTCATGACAGCGACCAGGTTGCAATACATTTCCTTCAATTGCATGTCTCCGCGCCTTGCTGCTGGACTATCAAATCAGTCACGAAAGCTAGCTCTGTTGAGCTCGCGGGAGTTGCCCTTTAGCAATTTTCACTTGGCTTACCTTGTATTAAGGCACTAGGGCAAAACCAGGGCTTACACCTTATCAGGTGGGACGTCCAAGAGTTAGGGTGGGGGGGAGGAGGGGCCGCCCCCCCCCCCCTCACCTCGCTCATGAAGCATTTTGAAGAGACAAGGTGTGGTTTCCCCCCCCCACCTTTAAGGTTGCGGCGCGTGGGACAAGGTGGGGGGCGGGGGGGCTCCCCGTGTGCGGCTTAAACCGGGTTTATTTGGAAGCTGGTGCTTGCACTCTAGATAGGGAAACAGTGACCTAAATCCCTTATATATAAACAAGAGCCAGCTTCCAAATAAACCCGGTTGGGGGTCCCGGGCGGGGGCAGGGCCGGGAATTAAATAATTTAAATAATTTAAATCCTGGCCGGGGGGGTTCCCGGGGGCCCCGGGCCCCAGGATTTAAATAATTTAAATAATTTAAATCCTGGGGAAGGGCTCCGGATTTAAATTATTTAAATTATTTAATTCCCGGGGCCCTGGACCCCCGGGGACCCCTCCCCTTCAGGATTTAAATTATTTAAATTATTTAAATTAAATTTTAAATAATTTAAATAATTTAAATCCTGGCCGGGGGGGTTCCCGGGGGCCCCGGGCCCCAGGATTTAAATAATTTAAATAATTTAAATCCTGGGGAAGGGCTCCGGATTTAAATTATTTAAATTATTTAATTCCCGGGGCCCTGGACCCCCGGGGACCCCTCCCCTTCAGGATTTAAATTATTTAAATTATTTAAATTATTTAAATTATTTAATTCCCGGCCCCATTTAAATAATTTAAATAATTTAAATAAAATAATTTAAATCCTGGCCGGGGGGGTTCCCGGGGGCCCCGGGCCCCAGGATTTAAATAATTTAAATAATTTAAATCCTGGGGAAGGGCTCCGGATTTAAATTATTTAAATTATTTAATTCCCGGGGCCCTGGACCCCCGGGGACCCCTCCCCTTCAGGATTTAAATTATTTAAATTATTTAAATTATTTAAATTATTTAATTCCCGGCCCCATTTAAATAATTTAAATAATTTAAATAATTTAAATAATTTAAATAATTTAAATCCTGGCCGGGGGGGTTCCCGGGGGCCCCGGGCCCCAGGATTTAAATAATTTAAATAATTTAAATCCTGGGGAAGGGCTCCGGATTTAAATTATTTAAATTATTTAATTCCCGGGGCCCTGGACCCCCGGGGACCCCTCCCCTTCAGGATTTAAATTATTTAAATTATTTAAATTATTTAAATTATTTAATTCCCGGCCCCATTTAAATAATTTAAATAATTTAAATAATTTAAATCCTGGCCGGGGGGGTTCCCGGGGGCCCCGGGCCCCAGGATTTAAATAATTTAAATAATTTAAATCCTGGGGAAGGGCTCCGGATTTAAATTATTTAAATTATTTAATTCCCGGGGCCCTGGACCCCCGGGGACCCCTCCCCTTCAGGATTTAAATTATTTAAATTATTTAAATTATTTAAATTATTTAATTCCCGGCCCCATTTAAATAATTTAAATAATTTAAATAATTTCAATAATTTAAATAATTTAAATCCTGGCCGGGGGGGCTCCCGGGGGCCCCGGGCCCCAGGATTTAAATAATTTAAATAATTTAAATCCTGGCCGGGGCCCTCCCCCAGGATTTCAATTATTTATACTGTTTAAATGGGGCCGGGAATTAAATACCACCCCACCCCACCTACCCTCCCTCACCCAGCCCTGCCACCCACCGACCCTCAGCGCCCACCCAGCGTCCCAACCCCCCCCCACCCACCCTTCCTCCCACTTCACACTCCCTCCACCTCCTGCCCACCCTACCTCCCAAACACCCTCCCACCACCCTCTCACCCACCACTTCAAGGGCTAGGGATCCCACACATCTGCGGGCAAAATCTGGCGGAAGTGATCCGCCACCGAGCAAAAAGCCTGTAAATACCGCATTAAACGAAGGGCCAGGGATTTCACACATCCGTTGGCAAAATCTGGCGGAAGTGAGCAGTCGGTACCTCCGCCAGATTTTGCCAACAGATGTGCGAAATCCCTGGCCCTTTGTTTAATGCGGTATTTACAGGCTTTTTGCTCGGTGGCGGATCACTTCCGCCAGATTTTGCCCGCAGATGTGTGAGATCCCTTGCCGTTGTTTTAACGCGGTATTTACAGGCTTTCTGCTCGGTCGCGGCTCGCAGGGATCAGGGGGACACCCCTTGCGCCCTGTGGTTTTCTGATCTGAGTTTTCACAAGACCTTAGGGGGACACCACTTGCGATCTATGATTTTGGGATCTGAGTTCTTACACAACCTTCCCTCCACCTCCTGCCCACCCTACCTCCCAAACACCCTCCCACCACCCTCTCACCCACCACTTCAAGGGCTAGGGATCCCACACATCTGCGGGCAAAATCTGGCGGAAGTGATCCGCCACCGAGCAAAAAGCCTGTAAATACCGCATTAAACGAAGGGCCAGGGATTTCACACATCCGTTGGCAAAATCTGGCGGAAGTGAGCAGTCGGTACCTCCGCCAGATTTTGCCAACAGATGTGCGAAATCCCTGGCCCTTTGTTTAATGCGGTATTTACAGGCTTTTTGCTCGGTGGCGGATCACTTCCGCCAGATTTTGCCCGCAGATGTGTGAGATCCCTTGCCGTTGTTTTAACGCGGTATTTACAGGCTTTCTGCTCGGTCGCGGCTCGCAGGGATTAGGGGGACACCCCTTGCGCTCTGTGGTTTTCTGATCTGAGTTTTCACAAGACCTTAGGGGGACACCACTTGCGATCTATGATTTTGGGATCTGAGTTCTTACACAACCTTCCCTCCACCTCCTGCCCACCCTACCTCCCAAACACCCTCCCACCACCCTCTCACCCACCACTTCAAGGGCTAGGGATCCCACACATCTGCGGGCAAAATCTGGCGGAAGTGATCCGCCACCGAGCAAAAAACCCGTAAATACCGCATTAAACAAAGGGCCAGGGATTTCGCACATCTGTTGGCAAAATCTGGCGGAAGTACCGACTGCTCACTTCCGCCAGATTTTGCCAACAGATGTGTGAAATCCCTGGCCCTTTGTTTAATGCGGTATTTACAAGCTTTTTGCTCGGTGGCGGATCACTTCCGCCAGATTTTGCCCGCAGATGTGTGGGGTCCCTGGCCGTTGTTTTAACGCGGTATTTACAGGCTTTCTGCTCGGTCGCGGCTCGCAGGGATTAGGAGGACACCCTTTGCGATTTGTGATTTTGGAACTTATTTGTTATAACAACCTTTAGGGGGACACCACTTGCGATCTGTGGTTTTCGGGTCTGAGTTGTCACAAAACCTTGGGGAGACACCCGTTGCGATCTGTGATTTCGGGATCTCCGTTCTTACAAAACCTTGGGGGGGACACCCCTTGCGATTTGTGGTGTTGGAATTCATTTGTTATAAAAAGCTTTAGGGAGACACCCCTTGCGATTTATTGTTTTGGAATTTGTTGTTTCAACGAACCCTTAGGGGGACACCCCTTGCGATCTGGGTTTTTGGGATCTGAGTCTGTACAAATCTTGGGGCGACACCCTTGTGATCTGTGATTTTATCTGTGTTTTTTGCAGAACTTCAAGGAAAAAAAATTCTTGCCGACGCAGGGGTAGATGGAGCTCTCTTGTCTTTCGTGAAGTTGAAGGGGCCTGTCTGCTGTGCTGAGATGGACCTCTCTCCCGTCTCACTACATGGGAGGAAGCTCTCAATCATTTCTTGTGGAGGATGAAGTAGAAGACTTTTCTTTTTGGAAGCAAGGGGAGCCCTGGCTTCTCTTGCTAGGAGCGAAGTCTCTTCAATCTTCTTAAGATAAACGCGACTTACCAAGAGGTAAAGGCTCTCTCTGCTCAAATAAAGCTCTCGTCGCTTACCAAGAATAACTTGGAGTGAGCTCTCTTCCTGCTTCACAGCAGGGTAAGGTAGAGGACTTGGGCTTCTCGTCTCGTTTTGAAGGCCACGGGGAGGACCGGCCTTTCTCTTGTCAAGGATTGAAATTTGGAAAAGCTCTATCCTTCCTTCCTGATCGTACGCTCCCTTCCAAGTTTTTATCTCGAGGAGGAGATGTTCAGGAGCTGTCGCTCCTGACGAACAGAGAAAGAAGTTTTCTTCTTATCGCCAGAGAGGCAGTCGGAGCTCCCTTCTTTCTCGTGATGCGTTGTTCTTTTGCCACGAACAACCTTTGGGGACTGTTTTCTTGCTTTGGAGCATGAGGTCTTTTCTTTTGAAGGCTGGCGACTGAGGAAGGTATAAGAAATCTCCTCTAGGGAAATCTGCTCTTGCCAAGAATAACTAGGAATGAGGACGCTCTGTCCTCACCTCTTGAGAGTTATTTCTCTTCTATCCCTTGGAGAGGAAGTGGTGGCAATATGGAGAAGTTAGAAGGGTTTCTTTCTTGATTCAGAGGGTGGGGTAGAGGGCTGCTCATGTCTTATTGAAGGCTGAGGGGAGGATCGGACTCTTCTTCTGTCGATTGAGAGAGCTCTGTCCTCATTTCTTGAGAGCTATCTCTGTTCTATCCCTTGAGGAGGAAGAGGGGACGACAAGGAGCTCCTCTCTCTTCTTGTCGACTAAGAGGCAGCCGCAGTTCTTTTTGAAACTGGAGATGCTTTGAGCCCTGTCTTCTTCGACTAGAAGCGAGCTCCCTTCGATTCTCTTCAGAGGAGATGGAGACCTACCAAGAGAGGGAGGAGCTCGCTGCTAGAAATCAGCTGAATGACTTGGAGGGACTCTCTCCGTGTTTTCGTTGAGGGTTGGGGGAATCTCTTGAGCGTCAAGAAAATAACAGGATCTCTTTCCACTGCCAAGAGAGAAAGGAGGTATCTTCTTCTTGTGCGTATGCTGTTTTCCATCTTTTGAGAAGGTACGGGCAGTAATCAGGATCTCTTTCCACTGCCAAAAGGAGAAAGGAGGTTTCTTCTTCTTGTGCGTATGCTTTTCTCCATCTTTTGAAAAGGTAAAAGAAATGCTCAAGATCCAACCCCTTATGAAGAGAGAAAGGAGTTATCTTCTTTCCGACCGATGGGTAAACGGAGACCTTGAATTCTCGTGAACTTGGAGGGGCCTGTCTGCTGGGCTGAGATGAAGCTCTCTTGCGTCTCATTACATGGGAGGAAGCTCTCAGTGATTTCTTGTGGAGGATGAGGTAGAAAATCTTTCTTTTTGGAAGCTAGGGGAGCTCTGTCTTTGTTGCTAGGAGCGAGGTCTCTTCAATCTTCTTAAGACGAAAAGGCGACATACCAAGAGGTAAAAAGGCTCTCTGCTAGAAGGATGCTCTCTTCTGTTGCCACGAATATCCTGGAGACTCTCTTCTTGTTTTGGAGCATGAGGTCATTTCCTTTTGAAGGCTGAGGGACGACCAGATGTCTCTGTTTGAAAATTGGGGGAAGCTCCACCCTTTCTTCTTGAGTTGGGGGGAGCTCCACCCTTTCTTCTTGAGTGTATGCTCGCTTCCATTTTTAAAACGGCGACGGAAATAATCAGGATCCCCTCCCCATATCAGGAAAGAAAGGAGGTCTCTTCTTGCCGAAAGGTAAACGGTGCCCTCTTCTTTCTCATGAAATTGGAGCGGCCTGTTTGCTTTGTTGAGATGGCGCTTTCTTTTGTCCCATTAGTTTGGAGGAAGCTCTCAGTCTCTTCTTGTCGAGGATGAGGCAGAGGATTTGTCTTTTTGAAAGCTAATTCAGAGCATGGGGTAGAGGGCTGCTCATGTCTTGTTGAAGGATGAGGGGAGGATCAGACTCTTCTTCTGAAGATTGAGCGAGCTCTGTCCTCACTTCTTGAAAGCTATCCCTCTTCTATCCCTTGAAGAGGAAGAGGGGACGACAAGGAGCTCCTCTCTCTTCTTGTCGACTAAGAGGCAGCCGCAGTTCTTTTTGAAACTGGAGATGCGTTGAGCCTTGTCTTCTTCGACTAGAAGCGAGCTCCCTTCGATTCTCTTCAGAGGAGATGGAGACCTACCAAGAGAGGGAGGAGCTCGCTGCTAGAAATCAGCTGAATGACTTGGAGGGACTCTCTCCGTGGTTTCGTTGAGGGGTGGGGGCATGTCCGCCCTTTCTTCTTGAGCGTATGCCCTTTTCCATCTTTTGAAAAGGTAAGGGAAGTAATCAGGATCTCTTTCCACTGCCAAGGGAGAAAGGAGGTTTCTTCTTCTTGTGCGTATGCTTTTCTCCATCTTTTGAAAAGGTAAAAGAAATGCGCAAGATCCAACCCCTTATGAAGAGAGAAAGGAGCTATCTTCTTTCCGACCGATGGGTAAACGGAGACCTTTGAATTCTCGTGAACTTGGAGAGGCCTGTCTGCTGGGCTGAGATGAAGCTCTCTTGCGTCTCATTACATGGGAGGAAGCTCTCAGTCATTTCTTGTGGAGGATGAGGTAGAAAATCATTCTTTTTGGAAGCTAGGGGAGCTCTGTCCTTTCTTGCTAGGAGCGAGGTCTCTTCAATCTTCTTAAAACGAAAAGGCGACATACCAAGTGGTAAGAAGGATGCTCTCTTCTGTTGCCACAAATCACCTGGGGACCCCCCTCTTGTTTTGGAGCATGAGGTCTTTTCATTTTAAATGCTGAGGGATGACCAGATGTCTCTACTTGAAAATTGGGGGAGCTTCACCCTTTCTTCTTGAGCGTCCTCCCCTTTTCAAGAAAGAAAGGAGGCCTGGGCTGGGCCGGGCTGGGTTGCGGCTTGGGCTGGGACTGGGCTGGGCGCGCTGGCTTACTCCAGCTCGCCGGTACCAGTCAGCCTGCCTTCCTGGGAGAGTCTGTGATTACTCCAGAACCCGAGTGTGCCTGCCTTCCTGGGAGAGTCTATGACTACTCCAAAACCCGAGTGTCAGCTTCCAAATAAACCCTATTTAAGCCGGCCACGGGGGCTCCCCCCCCCCCCCTACCCACAGGTCCCCCCCCCCCTCCTTCCACAAGGTCCCTGAGTTTGCTTGTGTTTGAAGTTTGTCGTTTGCGCTGCGTTTTGGCTCCAGTTCTTTTTGGTCGCCTCGGCCTCGTGTTCGACAGTACTCTCGTGTCACATGTGTCCCCCGCCTTACTCAGCCCCAATTGCTCGCAGCTACGCTTCGTCTCCCCTAGCTTTCGTGGCCCTCTTCTCAAGTGATAGTCTAAGGCAAGCTGCGAATGATGAGTGGCTCCCAGCATCCAAAGCTTGGCAGCGTGTGTTACACCGCCAGACTGTAGACTCTGACTGTGCAGGATGACGACACCGGAGTACAGTACTTGAAGATTTAAAGATGTGCTGGCATTTCAGGTTTGGGAACCTTTCTCCAAAAGGTCTCGAGCGCGTCGTCGAGGCGCCAGGGAGTGCTGAGGCTGTCCACATTGCCGTCTGCTGTCATGCATCATGCATCATCTGCTTCACTTTGATCTTGGTTTGATCATAGACCCTATCCACGTCACTCCAGACTGCTACATAGATATTAGGACCTCAACATATGTCAACATGGTCATTGGATGGTTGTGGTGATCCCTCCATACGGTCGGGCGGGAACGGTTCATTCGGAAAATTTCGTCGTGCACGATGCACACTGCCAAGAGGCTATTTGCTGTGCAGGATGGCGATGTGTAGCTACAGATGTCTCACTTCCCCATGTTGCGTGTTTGATCACCCGAACGAGGCCATGTTCAAGAAGTCCGTGGGAGAGGGGGAGACGATCATCAGGTGGACAGCACGAACACTGCTGCTCTTGACATGCTGAGCTCTGCGCGGAGGTTTGGTGATGTCGGAGACAACTTCTACATCGTCGTCTCGCATGATTATTCGACGTCCATAGATTTGATTTTAAAGTCTATCATGGCAGGAGCACAAACCACTGCTGCCAGGTCAAGCGTGGCAAGTTCGACATCTTCGCACATCGCCGCCTTCAACAGGCATCCCGACATCCGACCACGGCTGTAAAGATTTGTCGTGTCAGACGGCGAGCGGGCGGGCTGTGTAGTTTTTCTTCGGCTAGCCGGGCTGACCACATTGACATGGAGATCAACTATTTCGAACGTGGCGCATCGACGCGCCAGCCGGCTCCCGTGCAGCAGCCAAAGTATTGGCACGTCGCGGACGCACTGAACTTGCAATGCTGCCAGCCTTTGCAGAACCAGCTTGTGATCGCAGCTGCGCAGGCTGAAGCCGAGACGGAAAGTTCAGCAGAACTCGTCAAAGTGCCGCACTTGGGCCAAGAGTCCAAAGGACTCGGGCGGCATGAGCGTGGAATAGTACGTTCCGTGGCCTTAGGTGTTTGAAGCAGGGCCCGGCTTTGCTTTCGGGGAGGCTGCCTTGCTCTACAATGCTCGGACCTCAGCAATTGATAATTAGGTCCCGGCTTAGTGGAGTGGGCGAGATGTTGCACCGCGTGGTCTGATTGTCGGCCCTTGCGCAAACTTGACGGAGGCTCCACGCTCTGCGACCATCAGAGCCAGCGAGGACGATGGGAGCACCGAATTGCTTGGAAGAATGCCACGAATGACATCCACAGAAATTCTGCAGACACCATGCGCTAGGACTCTGAAGTGTGGTGCCTCGAGCGAAGAGCCTTCCGGGAACTCGTCATCAGGCATGCTGCATGGGGCGAACTAGGCGTTTACCTGCGCTGCATTCTCGTGTATAGACTTGTATAGATTTGTATTCGACAAAGCACCTTAGGAATTAAAGAATCAGTCTTCTTGGGCACAAGCTGGCAGGGCTTCGGAGCAGAAGTTCAAGGAGTGCCTCTCCTCGCTTAAGGTTGACCATCAGTGCACATCGACCATGCCATCTTGCAGGGTCATGATATGCCTCTACCGCATTCGGGCTACTTTTCTCATGTTCGGGAGCATAGTCTGTCTTGCCCAATGTCACAGGTATTCGGAGTTTTTGAGACGATGCGACGTTTTCCAAGAGTTGGATGCGGACCGCCGCTGTCACACCTTGCTTGCTCATGCTGCAGTCGTTTGCTTCTCTCCTCTTCCCTCTAACATTGGGTTCGCTGGTTAGTGAGTTCGGTGCAGGAACAAATCGCCACATTGGCTGAGGCCCGGCCCTGAGAGCCTGAGATAGTCCATTCCCGCGCAGTTCGAACCCCATGGCTACTCGGGCACAAGGTGGTGGACGAGGAGGATTTCTCTGCAGACGAGGCCTCTATTCAAAGATGCTGACATCTACGATTTCCATGTTAATTAGCGGAAGCTAATTGCACTTACATGCAAACCTGGCTTGGTTGGGGCAGGTCATAATTCAGCAGGGAGCACGGAGCTCGGCTGCCTGAGCAGTTTGGTCCACACGAAGATTCGGAGACATGTGACAGGGTCGCGACAGCAACATGTTCATCACCTTGAAGGGCCAAGCTGCCTGCTGAGCTTCATGCAAAAAGGTGTCCAGACAAACATGTGATATATCGATGCACGACGATGGAGCCATAGGAGCGCGAACGAGAGACTCGACTTTCGACTGCCTTTCGCGTTCTTTTTCAGGCTGTTGCCTGCATCTCTGGCGACAAAGGCGAGGTTCAGGCCCAACTTCATCAACTGCGGGGCAGGGAAGCCTATGCAATGGAGCAATGTGTCAGGTGAAGACCTACAATATAGGGGACTTCTTCGGAGAGATCGCGCTGCTGCTTGGAGAGCCAAGAAAGGCCTGCCTGCAGATAGGTCCAGTCGGGATGAACGGTGAATGTCTTCATGCACTGTCAGGCGAGTGTCTACGCCAAAGGACATGTGACCTGCCTTGTAATCACAAAGCAAGTGTTCGACAGAGCCGTGATCTCAGTTTTCGGTCTGCGACAAGGAGCTTCCTTTGCTCACATCGGATGTGTAATAGGTGCTGGGTCCTCTCAGAGACTTCTTGAAGAAGAATCTGACAAAGCAACGGCCTCGAGGAGTTGCTGTTACTCAAAGGCGAACCCACAGCCACTTAGGCACTGAGGCCAACACAACGGCTTGTAAAGGCAGCGGTCCCTGTACAACCGTGCATTTGTGTGCTGAGCGGTGCTGCGGCTATGTTGCTGTAGAGGGTTAGGAAACCGTCCAAGTAGTAGAGTCCGGCTATTTGGCTACTGGTGGCAACCCTTGGGCCTTGGGCATCCCCGCGTATCAGAACCACATGTGCTTTCGGCCAATGTTTTCATGCTACACCGTTTCGGATGGGCCAGCATCTAGAGAGGCATTACTACTGCCACAGGCACTCGTACCTAGGCGCTACCCTTGAAAAGCCACTGCCCCGGCTGCCCGGTCACCCGCAAGCGGCTCCTGTCACAGAGGTATGCCCAGTACCAGGACGCGATTGAGCAAGGCCGGGCTCCCCCTAAGAAACCCACGAAGCCTCGCCCGAAGAGATGTCGAGGCGGCGAAATGCGGGACACGCAGCCGAGCGACGAACCCCGAGCAGAGATGGACCGTATGGCCTTTGGTACGATCCCACATTAGTCCGGGTCCTCTGAGTCAATGTCAGGAGCGCGAGGCCGAGTCCGAATCTCAGAGATCAAGACCCACAGCATTCAGCACCATGGGGCATTGAGCAAAGCTTTCGCAGAGCTCGCAAAGCATGGGAGTTGCTTTCCATGCTGGGCCCAGGCTTGAAGCACGGCGCAACAACTCAGAGGCGAAAAGTATAAAAAGTTCATCTTCGCACAAGCATGCAACGCCACAAGCGTGTAGTTCAAAGCCTCACGCTGACGAGGAAGGGGAAGTCCGCCCTGCGCGAAGACGACTTCTCAGGCGACGGATCTGCAATGGCAGTTGAATGCGTTGTTGCAACAAGCAGTTTTTCATGTGTTTGTTTGGTACACCGTCTCCATGACCAGGAAGGCAGATCGTGCAAACACGGTGTACAACGTGAAAATCAAGGCCACAAGCTGACGTGGAGCACCTTGGCCCGGCTGAGTTTCGCTTTCCGGCCAGTTGCCCGTGGACCTCGACATCGACGAGGATGAGGAGCCCACTTCGACCGAGGCGGTGTCCGCTCGCTGTCTGATGCTGTCACTCAGGCCGCTGAACAGCTAGGGTTGCAGGGAACTTGAGTCACCGAGCATCACCGAGCCATAATTGGCAAAGCGGCAACATGAAGAGCCGTGATGGAGTCAGAGTGCGAGAGAGATCCACACAAGCTTTAGTCGCCTGACGTTCTGCCGGCGAGGCCGATGCCAAAGCTGAGCTCCCCGCCGAGTCCAAGTCAGAGGCAAGGGAAGCAAAGCACACGGCTCCATGACATGCTGCGGAAATCTATCCGTGAGCGCGCGCAGGCAGCGCCGCGTAAATGGCGTGCCTTCTGTCTCTCAGGAGACTACAGCTCCGGCTCCTGCTCGAGGACGGGGCGAACATGGACGGACTTGACCTCCAAGACGCAGTAGCAGAGCTGTCGTTTCAATTGCCGGCCGAGTGGGATCGACTGTGGCCCTCCAATGTTTGCAGCTAGTTGGTGCAGCCAGGCGAAGGCAAGAAGCAGACGCTTGCTGAACGTGTTGAAGAGGACTGGAAGAAGTCAGGGCGCCAGCTCAAGCGAATGGATGTCGCAATACTCGAGTCGTGCACTAGTCTCGATAGCACTTGGACTAACCATCAGGTGCATGGACAAACTTGCGAAAGAAGTGCACAAATATCCTGCAAATGTGCTTGGTGGCACGCGGCTGCCGGCAACGACTACAGAAACGCACATGTTGCTAAGTGGTTTATGATTTCCTCCATTTGTGCATGCCTTCGCCGTTTGCAGCCGGTGTCACTCCCACAACCACTATCTCTCCATTTGGCATCATCCGCATATCTATGGTAGGGATCCCTTCTATGCTCACGCCGTACCGTCTCTTTGCGACATAGCCGGACACGAAACACGGCGTGCAATCCTCAACCTGGCAGCTTGAGGCCTCAACTTGTTTCCCCAACGGAAGGCTTCAAAGTGGCGCAGCTTTGCTTGAATGGAAGTTAGGTTTGTAGGATTGTAACTTCGAAGCAGCAGCGAGTTTCCAACTATTTGCTCACTGCCAGCTTTAACTCTTTCATCCCGAGAAACGATCCAGGGTTTTGTTGTGGAATTCGATCTCTTGTTCCAGCTCAATCCTCTTGGGAACGTGCAACCCTTTGTGAGCACGGCATGTCATTAGCTAGACATGGACTTAAAATTGTCTGTTGGGCCAAAAGCAGCAGCGCCGATATTCTCTCACCGCCTCTGCCGAGGAACAGCAAGTTCACGGCTGCTGCCTCAGACGTTGATTTATGTGTCACGGAAAGGATGCTTCGTTATTCCGACCATGCAGATTCACGAGCCGCGAGCTTCGCGGATGAGTGCCGAAGTACATGTATAGTGACTAGTATAGCGTGGCTACTCGTGGTTCTGGCCCAGGCATTCGGTGGATTGCGCAGGGGCGAGAAGTTCACGATGGACAAAGCCGTCATCGTCAGAAGTCAGGTGCAAGCCTGCAGGATCATCTGATGAACCCTGCTCTTGCATCAGCTGTTTCAGCAATCCCAGATCTTCGGCGGCACGAAAGCTCCAAGCCCTAAACGTTTGCGCGATCCCGCACATCTGACAATACAGTGCATCCGGCAATCGTCGTGGCTTTGGTGAGGGTATGTGCGGCAACATGATGTCGATCACGGCTTAGCAATCTGCTCGCTGTGTGGGTGCTTTCGCAGGCTCAAGCGCAGAGAGACGGCGAAGAGGCACGGCACAATTTTGGAGACGTGGCTACTTTATCTCAGAATCACCGGCCGTTTCCTTGTTTGACCCGGCAACGGTTGCACCATCCGCCACTCTCGTCAGAGCAATCGGTGTAGGGTGCCTGCTACATGCGAAGCAAGAGCAGGACATCTACCGGTGGTCAGGGCCGAGCTGGCTGAAGGCGACACAGGGTTTCACTCAGATGCTCGGGCCATGTGAACTCGCAACCTGCACCTGTTTGCCACACAACCGGCTCCTGCCTCGTTTCATAGCATCGCGAGCATGGCATCAAAGCAGCCGACCATAGCCAATCTCGGTAACAAACCATAGCAAACCAACTGAATCTGCACTGAATAGTTCCGTTCTGAACTCATCTCGTGACGCAGACCCTCGGTCTCTCTTAAGATGAGTTGGCTTCGTGACGTGCGAGAGAAGCTCTTCAGTCAGACAGGGCTGGCCGCGACTTTCTTGATGCTTGGCCATGTCAGCCCGATCTTTTCCGGTCCGACTCAGACAGCATCTTTCAGAAAGAGCTGCTGCAAGTGCTATGCATGGTAGCACGCCCGCACTGCTGCATCAACTTAACTCGGTAACATTATTGAGCTCCATTGGGACGGGCTGACCGAAATTTTCTGTGCTTCCTCGAAGATGACCTTCACCAAAGAAGAACAAGCCAGCACGGTCATTCTCTGTGCATCTGCTGTCTTAAGGATTGGCACGCTCGGGTACATGGACCTGATCAAGACTGGGAACTGTTTTTGGGAACAGGTTTGGACTTGTGGGTGGACTAAACTTGGCCAGACCATGGGCGGAGGGAATCTGGGGGTCAATATTTGTCGTCTTTGGGAAGCATCAGGTACCTGGTGTGGGACTTCTTCTCTGAAGTCGTTGCTGCGAGGGCAGCCGCCAAGCGAAGGGCGCTGATAGCCGCCTGCTTGACCCAGAGGTTGGAAAGCTATTGAGCAAAGAAACAAGTTACCGACTCGGCTTGTGGGCTTTGGGAGCTCTGGCAGCTAGGTATGTCAGTTGCTCTTGAAGCCCTTCCCAGCCACGACAGGAAGCAGGCTTCATTCCAAGCGTTCTGCTTCCCGAGCGAAGGAGAAAATGCATGTGGATCCGCGGGATTGGTACGAGGCAGATCTTCAACCCTACGACGGCAGCGATCCAGAGAAACCGACGCTGGGTTTACAGAAGCCGACGGTGAGGGAGACAGGCATAGGCCTCCATAGGTGTGCTTCAATAGTGTGAGAGCTGCATCTAAGGCTACTAGTTGGCATCGACGGACTCAAGGCTGCACTGAAGCTCCACACTCGTGCAATCGCCACTTGCCAGTATCGAAATGCGACTCAGGCGAAGTTTTCAATGTGTGGAGGGGCCGGGACTTCTATGGACACGGTGCTCCGTACAATAGCTTCGCTGGAAGAGATGCCACGCGTTTTTTGGCGAAGCAAATCATCTCCCAGGAGGAGGACGATGGACAGCCTCTAACACGAGAGGCTGGACTGCCAAAGAGTCTACTATTTATAGCATCTCATGGTCTTACGATCAGATCACAAGATTTCACTGCCTTTCACGGCTTGTTGGTTCCCTGTAGCTAGAACCAAGACAGCCGCAGATGCCAACAAAACTTTAGGCTCTATTGCCTCACTGTACCAGTCACAAGTTGCCGGGGTGGGCTCCTGCTCCGGCACAGGAGCTGGAGAACATGCAGAACTGGAAAGAATACTTCCGATTCAAGTACGACGCCGCCGGCAAGTTGCTTTCATGAAGCGAAGCCTTGGCCTCCGAATTCGTCCGGCAGCGCCGAGGGCTTTTCCAAGTCGGAGACGGATGCTGAAGTTCCTTTCATGTACTGCCAGCAAAGACCAGCGAATGGTGCCACGTGTACAGGGCATTCCAGCTTGCGCTGTTTGGTCGATGTCGAGCAATCTACTTTTGCGATTGCTGGTGCAACGATGCGATAGACAGACGACTGTTTCACAGCATGGCTTAAAAGGTACTCCGATAGAGCTTTGCAGTTTTCGGTTTCCAGCGCTGCCAGGGGCAGATCCACACCGCGGTGCTTTGTCAAAAGGGCCAGAAGTCGGCTGCGGATCCCACACCGAATCAGGACAGCTTTGTGCGTACAGTCAGTTCACTATTACAGGCAATTATTCAATGATGCAGATGCTCCATCAATGTAGATACCAGCTTTGTGAATTGGTGTGGCCCGAGATCAACTCCGCACGAACCTCTGTCGGAGAGTATACTACACTCAGACTCTCAGCCGCCAACATCTCCTCAATGGAATCCAGCACATAGGCAGCACATTGAGACTTTTGGCAAAGGGGAACCTGCGCGCGAGTTGGTGATAGTTGGTGCCATCATGTGACATCACAGAAGGCGAGCACATGCGAGCACGTCAAGACCGGCATCTTCAGACTTCAGATTCTCACACAATTGGCAAGGTGCTGCTACCAACCGCGTTGAAGCCATTCCAACTGGGGCTGACAAGACCATGCAGATTTTTGCTGCTTCCTCTCTATCGGCCCACAAACTTCGGAATTGTCAGCCGCAAGGTTCCTGTTCATGCAAAATGTGATCTGAACACATCTGCAAACTGTATCGCTCTGCAAGTTGCAGGCTTGTATGACACGGGTCAGTTGATTTTCTTATGCATCCACAATGCCAGACGATGCATTAGGTTTCTATTCTCGTGATCTGTCAGGACAATTATTTCGCGCTACATGCTGGACCCCCAGCGTGTGGCTCCTCGTGGCACTAAGCCACGTGCGTTCTGCATCGGTAAAACCTGGTTGGCGATGGGGGAAGGAATCGTTCGAATGTCGCAGGTCTTGGATTAAGTCTGTGTGGGCTAAACAGTCTTGTTCGTTGCTGTACCTGCAGACTTCATGAATGTGTTGACTGCTGATCAACTTGCTGGTTTACCCGAGTCTAGCCTGCCTGCCCGAGGGAAAGGTGTCCCGACTAAGTGGGAGAATCAGGATTCATTCTCGGTTGAGCCTTGAAGCATCCTGCCACCCAAGTTCACTGTGCTCCTTCTTTAGCTTCGGCTTGCCGGAGTCATGGAGTAATCAAACCTGCCACGCTCGATCTGCTCTGGCCCTTGCCGTTGTTAGATGATCGGCTGCGTCTTTCTGCGTCGGTGGTGGCAAGAGGATGCGCTCTTTTTGGTGAGCTGGCTGACTTCAGCAACGGTCTTCAAATTGGTGGGAAGCGGGAACCAGCAAGAAGCAGTGAACCATTAGGCGATACTGTCTAGAAATCTCTGACTTGAGTGAGCTTGTTAAGCTCGATGACCCAACACCCGTAAGAAGACATCATCTTGTCCACGTTTGGATGAGGGCGTCTTGACAGCATTCATCTCACCCAAGCAGTCAACAGGGACAAGCCGGCCCCACCCTCCTAACCGGATGCAATCGCCCCTTCCGTCCCAGGTCGGTAGCATTGGGCTCTACGGCGTGTGCGACGGGCATGGCCCGTTCGGACACCTCGTTTCCTTTCGTTTGGCTAGACCCTGAGACACCCACACCTCAAAAGCCTGTTTTTCTGATGCTGCTTCGTCAGAAGTTCCTTCACAGACTTTAACGAATCAAATCTTCAGTTTTGGCCACGCAGGTGCAGACCTTGCCGCACTATATTACCACCAGCAAGAACTGGGGCGAGGCCAGCTTGAACTACTGTTCAGCTCTAACCGTAGCTGAGTCTAATTCTTCCTGTGTGAGACATTGTCAGCACTTACATCGGCACGGTGGCTTCATCCTATTCGCATTCTCGTTCTTGCCGCTACTGTGAGGTTTTGCTTGAGATGCAGTGCCATGACACATTTGCCTCGATGCTTCATGTGCCACGGTGGAAAAGCCTTTGACCGTTTCATACCAACGAGCAGCGCCTCGTGCCTTGCAGGACTGGGACGCCTGCTTGAAGGAGGCTTTCTTGGCAGCCCAGACTGATCTCCTGAAGCTCGCCGCTTCCGAAGGCTGGTCGCGCAGAAGAGAAACGCATCGACATGAACTCTTCGGTGATGTGTTGGGCTAGGCCCTTTACTGAAGTTTGGGAAGCCATGTGAAAACTTGGGCCACCTGGATTGGTGCCTCAAAGCCAAGCTTGCATCAGGCATCAATGTTGAGGCTTCTGGGGCAGCTGGAACCGTGCTCGTGTTCGAGGCAAGCGCACTCCAGAGGTGCAAACATGCAAGACTGACCACTCGGGGCCGGTTGAAGTTAGTTGCACAAGCGTGTATCTTACCGCTGATAGCTTCAGCTTCTTGCACCAGCACGCCAAATGATGAGTCGCAAGATGAAAAACTCTTGTTTCAGGGCCCGTGCATTCACGTAGCTCACATCGGCGATGCAGGCCCGAGTGTCTTGTGTTGCCGTACTTGTTTGTATGTTGAGCCTGTGAGGCGAGAAGCCGTCAGGAATTTGAGAGACAATCATTTTATGTTTCGGGTCGTGGCGCTGCTCCTTCAGGGGTATTTGTAGTGGCAAGCTTTTGGGGAATTACAGCTCTTTTGAAGTCTGCAAGTCAGGAAGGTGGAGGTGCTGAGCCCCTTGTTTGAAGTGGCGGCGCCTGGCCCGCTCAGTCCCCTTGCCCACCAGGCTAAGCAGGAGGCTGGTCTTGCCAGGACGCAAGTTGGGAGTCATCCCGTGACTTTCGCAGCATGATAAATGCTGCACATGCAGCATTCCGGCCGCTGGGAATTCCAAACGCTCTATAGCTTCCCAGAACATGATACCGCACCAACTGCAGTTCCCCAATAGCTTGCCGGCCGCCACATTGGGCGTACAAATTCCAATCCACTAAAAGCCGGCTGAGGCAGAAACAAGAAGACCCCACCAACTGTTCGGGCTGAGCGCGGCCAAAGTGGGGAGGGGCCGGATGTGCCATTGGTGTGCCTGCAGTCCTTTCGCCATTGAGTTCCAGCCCTAGGGCAACCAAGCCGGCAGGCGGTGGGCCAGAACCCTAGAAATGCTCGCCGCCGCATGCAGAGAAACATGACCCCACAAATTCCAAATCCCCACTTCATTGAAGCAGCCGCACCGAAACGATGGCACAAAATTGGGAGTTGGCCAGATGGCTCAAACATACGGCAAGATCATAACAGAAGCGAAAGAACCCCAAAATGCAAGTTCCTTCGATGATGACAAGCTTCGAGCCCCGATCCAACACCCGCCAGGATGCCTCGTGGCATCTTGGAGCCGGCACGACTCGCGGATCTTGTATGGCACAGAGGCGCCGGGCAAGCCGGGAATGAGAGTTTCCACCTGACGGTCGACGGTCTCATATCGAAAGATGTCAATGGCTCGAGCTGCGCAGGACCACAAGCCAAACAATCCCGAAGAGCGGCAGCGACTCGAGGGAGCTGGAAGTGAGGTTCGACAGGCCTAACATTCCCCGCACAAACATGCCCCAGAATAGGGAGTTCGATGAGCTCGCTCTTATCGTTGGCCAGCGCCACAGCCCATTTTTGAGCACAGCAGAACAGAACGACATTAGATTGTTCCGACAAACGACGTACTCATTAGTTTACTCTAACCCGAAGCAGCTGCTCTCGTCGGATTGGCAACCTCAGATGGAAGCCTGCCGGAGTGTTTCTGGCTCCGCAGTAAAGGGGCCCTGCAAAGCGCTGCGCTGTCTTTCGCGTCTGAGTGAAACAGGTGGACGTGGATAGCTTTCGGATTTACATCAAAGGAACTAACTTTCCTGGCTTGACCATGCCGGGCACTCACTCTCGCTTGAGGTGCCTGGAGCTTCAAGCATAAGAACCCAGGTCTCGCGCTTTTGGTGACATTGCGTGTGCTGGCGTGCTGCAAGCAAGGGCCTCGGCTTCTTCCTTGCGCGGACAGTGAAATCACCGCGTGGCGCATTGTACAGACAGTGAAAGTTTACTCGGTGCCAAGTCCACACCGAACAGGAACCGCACTACCAGCGCTTGTTCATCCAGCCGTCGGATGAGCCTCTCCGTCTGCACTGCGCAATGCCGCCTTGACAATCCTCGCGCATTACCAGCAAAGCAGGGAACGTGCCGTAAGCTGATCCTTCTTCTGCATTCCAGGGTATATGCCGTGATCGCCTCTGACGGCATCTGGGAGTTCATTGACTACAGCAAGGTCGTGGATCTCACATCGAAGAAGCTTGCGCCTGAGATGTTCTGCCATGGGCCGGTACAGAGCTCCACAGGGCTAGCCTGCATGGGGCTGGTCCATGAGCCGGAGCAAATCAGCCACTGGTGACACTTAGGCTGCGCCTCAAGGGCCCGAGAGAGGCCCTACCGGAGGAGAGTACATGCTTCCTGCCGGGTGTCGTGCATCATTCTCGGTTCAGGCTGTCCGGTATTTGGTTGACGCCAGCCGGTCTGCGGCCCAGTCCGACTGCGCCAAGAGCTTTTGGGACTGCTTACAGAACACAGGGAATCCCACGGGATGCTCATTTAGGCTCAGGGTGCCTTTGGCCGCTTGCATCGCCCACGGTTCGCCAACGCCTTCCAACATAATCAAAGGTGATGCCGTTGGCACCTGCACTAGTTCTTCTGCGGGGCCTGCAGCAGAAGAAGCCACACATAGCAATCCCTGTTTGCCTGGTGTTAGTTTGTCACGTCTTCGTCATGGAAGAGTGGGCAAGAGCACCGGCGACATCTGCATGTCGATGCTCGTGCAAACGGCAGACAGGGGTTTCGTATTTCGCAGCTTCGCTATCGGATGACACCAGAAAACTCAACCAGCTTACCGATGGCATGCCCATTTGTGTTGCCTGAGGAAGCGTTGGGCTGCTTACTGTGGCGATTATTGCCCTGAGCTCAGGGACCGCTGGACCACTATAGTGGCACATTGTGAAAGCGATGATCCACAATGTCAATTTGTCGCGAGTCAGACGGGTCAAACGTGAATGAATCTTTCATGGTTCGCCTCAGAGGCCTCCAGACACATTCACCCCTGTGTTGCACAGGTGATGACATCACGGCAATGATTGTGAAGTGGAACGTCAATGTCAAGGTCCCGGCTACAAGGAAGAAGAAGAAGAAGCAATTCACATTCAATAATTCAGCAAAGCTGCACGTATGTGACAGTGGATGCTGCATTGCCAGGGCACCGACTCCAACGACAATCATGAATTCACGCTGATACGGCCGGCGGAGCTGCCCGCCTTGCATGGTATTCAAGAAGAGTTGTGTTGAGAGCTTGTTGCTGACATGCTAGGGCATGTCTTCCCCTGTTGCGCAAGCCTTCCCAGGACAGAGATCAAATGATTTAGCTGCCTGAGCGGCTCGCCTTGCAGCTTCGTAGCCTGGCACGTTCTGACTGGCTCTCGCATTGATTCAATAATTGGTCGCACTGCGGTATTGGGAGGTTGGGCAAGATAGTTGTCTTGGGGAT